GTGGTTTAAGAAATATAACTTTGGTAGCAGTGTGGTAATTAGTTAGAACCCGAAAGCGCATATATGATAAGAGTTAACGAGTTAAGTTTCTGTAGTTAAGGCGTAATTGAGATTACATGTAATGTTTAGTGATTAAGAGGGGTTTACAATGACTCATTTTATTTTAAGTAAAAGACAATTTGATTATTACATAAACAACGTGGTGTGTTTTGTAAACAAAACACGATCTTGCCTTTTAGTTATTATTTGAGGGCAGTCGCAGTTGCAGTTGCAGTGGCAGTTACGCGCAGTCATTTTATTATTCAAAATGTTAAGTATCAAATATTAATGAAATAATTTTTGTACATAAAAGGTTTGAATGTTGTTCCTATAGAAAAATATCCGTTGAGACCAATATTCCACGACTCTTTACATTATTTGAATGATTCATTAAGAGCTGTGTATAAATTAATGAGCATAGGTTTATGATTGTTTTATATTATTATATATAATGTAAAAAAAGTAAAAAGTAAACTAACAGCCTATACATGTCCCACTGCTGGGCAAAGGCCTCCTCTATACAGAGGGTATCAGGGCATAGTCCACCACGCGGCCTCACTGCGGATTGGCGGACTTCACATATTTTCGAAATACATTTTTTGTTATTATTTCGAAAATATGCAGTTTCCTCACGATGTTTTCCTTCACCGCGGAGCACGTGATAATTCAGCACTTAAAGTTAAAAACTTCATTGGTGCCGGCACCGGGGATCGAACTCAGGTTGCTCGAGAATACATTGAAATAAAGGCGAGCGCCCGGACACTGAGCTATCACGGCTCGTGTATGTAATAAATATATATAATGTAATAAATATGTATTTAATATAAATCAATGCATATATAAAATTATAGATACAAATACATACAAAGGTTAAATAATATATACAAATACATATTATTAAAAATACATACAAATTATGTTGTCTATTTTAGATAGATACACTTTATTACGTTACTGTCTCTTTACTCTTTTACGAAAAATGTCAAGGGAAAATTTGTGATTTCTTAACCTATTTTATTCACGATTATAAATGCAACAGAACTGATTATTGCTTCATATACATCTTCATCATATGTCACGGTCATTTTGGGTTCACGTCAGCGGCAACAAAACTTCAGGGACCCTGAAAGGTGTTATGCTTTTTCATGACAAAAAATTATTCGTTATTTCGACGCCTTCCACTCGCCTCCGAGTCGTCGGGGAATCAGAAATCTGAATATTTACGATCGCCTTTCCTTCACTTTTCTTGTATAAAGAGAATGAAATAAAAAGATTTGAAAAATTTCCCTCATTGTATTTGCCTCTGATGTATTACAATACCCACTGTATTATTAGTATTAGAGGCGATTTTTCATTATTAGATTGACATGCCTGTTTTAGTCGAATTAACAATGTTGCTTATAACGCTCATGAATTGGGTAGTCCTATTGTACCACAACTTGTTATGTTTAACTCTTACTATATGATTAATTGTGTCATCGCGAAGGCATTCGACAAGGTCTCGCACATTGGCAGCACTGCAGCAAGTTGTACGCATTCAACTGCCAGACAGGCTTTAGTATATCATCTCAGCCTTCCTGTCGAACCTTTATGTTATGGAGTAGAGAACACTCTCTCTTCGAGCCATCCCTCATAATCGGAGTTCCTTAAGGTTCTTCCCTCTCCCCTTTGCTCTTTTCGCTTTATTTTCGATATCTCAACATGGAACCAATTGTCAAACTCGAGCTTTTCGCGAGCAACACGGTCCTTCTGTTCGGAAAAACATCTTGGCTAACCAAAAAAAATGGTGCGGAATTAGGTTTATTTCGATAAAAGTGGACTGTATATGCGGGATTAGTTAGGATTTAATTTGCAACCGGCAGACGAATCATGGAGCACGCACTGACCTGGAGGCTTCCAGCGACGAATCTTCTATCGGCTTCAGTCAGCGAGGCACTCGGATTATAAGTCATGTACAGTTACACAGATTTACACATTCACGGCCGTGATTTATAAAGTTAATAATTTAAAGTAGAAGAAGCGTTGATGCGGTGTTAAAGGCGAGCGGTTACACTATATAATTGTCCATCGTGCGTGCGGTTTGAACGGACAGTGCCGGTTGCGAACGAATGAAATGAAGGATTTAAAGGAAGTATGATTTGTCAATGTAATTGACATCTTAATGCGGGAATATTCAAATTAGTATGATATGGCGGCAACATTTCCCCCGCCCTTAAAGGGTCACCTTTAAAAGGAATAGTATAATAAATGGACATAAGTTTATGCGTATGTAAATAATATGAATAAATATAGAATAAATAAATATATAGTAACAGGAGTTTAATAAGCGGTTAAGTAAAGTAATATTATTGTGAAGGCAAAGGACACAATCGAACTACAGGTCGAATAAGTGTACCTCTTGCAGTTTTTACCGTAGCGACGCGAATTATATTGTCCTTAGACGGGTGAACCTTCTCGATGACTCCTAATGGCCAAGAAAGGGTCGGCGAATTATCGTTTATAATTATGACTACTGTGCCAACCTTAATTGGGACAGAGGATTTAGTCCATTTCTGTCGCGTCTGCAGTTGATGCAAATATTCAATTCTCCAACGACGCCAGAAAGACTGGACCAACTTGTCCAAGAGCGCGTGTCGATGGAGCAAAGTCATCGGCGTAGATTCTACATCGGGGGCAGGTAAGGAACGTAATGGTGTTGTATTCAAAAAATGTCGGGAGTAAGAGCTGTTGGTTCGGAAGGGTCTGAGCTCAATACAGTAAGCGGACGCGAATTTAGTAAGCACTCTATTTGTGCGAGGATCGTGATCAGCTCCTCATACGCAAGGATCTGCTGTCCGATAACCTTAAAAAGATGGTTTTTTATGCACTTTACCATACTTTCCCAACAACCACCAAAATGCGGAGCGGCAGGCGCTATGAACTTGAGTTCAATGCGACTTTCCGCTAGTTCTTCTTCTAAACGCGAGCGATAATCATTTGTAATAAAATTATATAAATCGCGTAGATAAGAGCGTGTGCCGACAAAATTTGTACCTCGATCGGAGTATAGACACTTCACGGGGCCACGTCGCGAAAGGAAGCGTTTTAAAGCTGCAATAAAACTAACAGTGGAAAGATCCGTGGCGACCTCGATGTGAAGTGCACGCGTAGTAAGGCACGTAAATATGCATAGGTAAGCCTTACGAGTTTTGACACCGCGAGCTCTTATAGGCGTGTACGGTATAGGACCTGCGTAGTCACAGCCGGTGTGCGCAAAAGCTTTCTCAGATTGAGTAACTCTTGGTCCCGGTAGATCTGCCATTAACGGAAATTGCGGACGCGGTTTTGATTTAAAGCAAGTATTACATTTATTAATTCTAGACCGAATAATTCGTCTAGCAGACAAGATCCAAAATCTTGTCTTAGTAAAGACATAAGTAGTTCTGGACCGGCGTGTAAATATTTTTTATGATAGTAATCGATCAAAGACTCGACGAGCGTGTCGTGACGCGGTAGAACAATTGGAAATTTGGTTTCTAAACTTTCAGCGGAGTTAGAAAGACGGCCACCAACATGTATAAGGCCTTCATATAAAAATGGTTTAAGCTTCATAAGCGCGGGAGAGCAATTTTTGCCAGCGTTTAAAAGTTTAATGTCGTGCGAAAAATGTCGCTTTTGAATATCGCCTATTATTATATGTTCAACAGCATTTATATCAGACGCGCAAACTGAATTCGAACCGGTACGAGGTAACTTCTTAATAAATCTGCAAACGTATACTAGAATTCGCGTAAGTTTATTCCATGAGGATATGCGTTCATTAAGATCCTGAATGAGAGAACAGCATATATCTGACGTTGTAACGTGATGAGCTATTACTCTCTCTTCAGGTAAGCAGTCCAGTTCTACCCATTCGTCCATCTTATTAGTAGGCCATAGAGATGGGTCCTGTGCGAGCCAGGCTGGACCATGTGACCACAAGGGATGCGATATTAATTTTGCGGGCGTAAGACCTCGTGACAGACAATCAGCTGGGTTGTCCAAACCAGCTACGTGATGAAAATTTGCGGCTGGTAAATTGTCAATGGTCTTAACAATGCGGTTGGCAACAAAAGTTTGCCAGCGGTGCGGTGAAGATTTTAGCCAACATAGAGTGACCATCGAATCTGTAAACGCGTATATGTCGCAAATGGGGTAGCGTGGGCTGTAGATGTCGTAAACGCGTCGAATAAGTCTAAGTCTTGCCAGTAGTTCGGCAGCACAGAGCTCGAGACGCGCTATTGACAAAGGTTTCATCGGTGAAACCTTTGACTTAGCACAAACGAGTCGCGTTGTAACTTTGTTTGCGTGAGTGACATGAGCATACACCACAGCTCCGTAAGCACGTTCACATGCGTCGGAAAAGCCGACTAAACGTAAAGCGCAATTTTCGCAAACACCCAAATGTCGCGGTATTTTAATGTCATTAAGTAGCGGTAACTCAGTGGTAAACCTCCTCCAAATCTCGACAATATGTTGCGGCGGGCACTCGTCCCAATCAATTTTCAACATCCACAGATCTTTGATGAGCAGTTTAGCGAAGAGCACAACAGGTGCTACGAAACCCATTATGTCCCATATTTTAGCTACAGTGGCTAGAATAACCCGTTTCGAACATTTATTGTCAGGCGCGGTAATTTTAAATTCAAAACAATCATGAGATTTAGACCAACTCAAACCTAAAATTTTAAGCTGTGCGGTTCTATCAAATTCTATTGGTTCGGTTGCCTTATGTGACGAAGGCAGTGTACTTAAGACTGTGGCGGAATTACTAGTCCATTTAACCAAATCGAATTGAGCGCGTTTAAATAAATTAATTAGCTGATTAGCAGCTGTTATAGCTTGCTCTTCAGACATTAAACTAAAAACGATATCGTCCATATAAATATAGCGAGAAGCAATTAACTTTGCTAGCGGGTACGAATCTCCGTCGTCTTCAATTAGTTGCTGAATAACACGGAGCGCGTGGTATGGGCTGGACCGTAGTCCAAAACAAACCCTATTAAATTCATAAGCGGTGAGTTCATCTTGCGGTTGAAAACGATATAAAATTCTTTGAAAGCGGCGATCGCGTTTATTCATTATTATTTGAAGGAACATCTGTTTGCAATCAGCGGAGAGTGCGGTAGCGAAAAGACGAAAATTTAAAATAATCGCAAACAGATCACCTTGCAAGTTAGGACCACTATGGAGAATATCATTCAGCGAAAGCCTTGAACTTGATTTATGACTTGCGTCAAGAACCATGCGGAGTTTAGTAGTGGTTTTATCAGCGCGGATTACACCGTGGTGTGGAATGACGTACACGGGATAGCGGTTGCCAGAGTCAACGAGTGGCGCGGGTGACAGATAGCCTTTCTCCAGGTTTTCATGGATAACGGCGTCGTATGCAGCCTTGAACTCAGGAGAGCCTGCAAACTTCCTTTCCAAGCTCATAAAACGCTTTCGGGCGGTTTCGTAGGTATCGCCAAGCGAAAATATGTCATCACGAAAAGGTAACGAAACAATATATCTGCCTGAATCGTTTTCGCGTTCAGTGGTTTCACGAAAAAAATATTCGCACTCTATATCATCTCGTGTATGGGTGAGCTCAGCCCCTAAAGGAGATTCGTCAATCTGACAGAATTTTTTCATAAGTATGTCAAGCGGGTCTTGATCTGCGGGTTCGGCCGTAGTAGTACAATACGACACTGTTACGTTTTCGCGAGCGGGAAGAGAGGGCACAGTGCCCATAATCACATAACCAAGCGTGGTTTGTATAGCGGGCGGAATAGCGGAATTATCTTGTATTATACCGGGTAGTAAAAGTCGCGAGAACAAGGATGCGCCAATCAGAACATCTATCTGTGATGGGTTAAAGAACTTATCATCGGCTAGCGGCAAACCTTGTAAGAATGGCAAAGCGGAAATGTCAACAGGCGTAGAAGGCAAGTTATCTGTTATTCGGTCGACTACGAGTGAAGAAATTTTATATTTTAAGTCATCATTAAAACGCGAGGCAAACTGGAACTCAACAATTCCTTTAGCGTATTTTTCGGAACCGCCAATACCTTTTACCTTAATGTTATAATTATTCACCGACAAACTTAATCGATTACAACATTCGAGCGTTATAAAATTACTCTGCGAAGCGCTATCCAATAAACAGCGCACACTATGTTTTATGCCATGCATATCTTGTACAACAACAGTCGCAGTGGCTAACAAAACTGTAGTATTTACATTGCGCGCGAACAAATCTTCGGATAAATAAGAGCGTGTTGATAGCGGCGCAGCATTGGACGTAGTACACAACGACACACTGTCATTACGCACAACGGGCGACGGCTGTGGCGATGTAGGAGCGAGGCATGAAGTAGCCGGCGCGCGCTCCGTTCCCGATGACCGCGGCGCGGCGGTGTTTACAACGTGAGCGGCAGTAGGTTTGACATTGTCAAAGTGCAATAAGCTATGATGCTTACCCTGGCAAGTTTTACATCTAGAACTAGAATTACAAGTCCCTGCCTTATGTTTAACACTCAAACAATTAACACAAGCGTTACGTTCTTTTGTGCATTTAAAACGATCATTCGTTGTCATTTTACAAAATGTAGGACATTTGTATAAATGATCGTGCACTATATCTTTACACAAACATTTATATGTATCGATCACGGAAACGTAAGATTGAAGTTGCGGAAATTTTGCGGTAGGTCGATTTTTCGGGTTCGAATTCGCGGTCGAACTCGAATTCGACAGATGAGAACGTTGTAATATATTAGTTTGTTCCTTTACGTAATCGGTTAAATTATTAAATTGCGGAATTTTTTCTTTGCGAGAATGCATTTCGAAACAACGAACCGTTTCATGATCTAACTTTTTTAACGCGGTATGCAATATAATAAAATCAGTTAAATCGGGAAGATGTAAATTTTTTAATGCGTTTACGGCGGTTACAAAAGTATCTAGAAACATTTCTAAATTTCGAGCGGTAGCGGTAGAAATTGGCTTAAAGTCGAAAATCTGATTAATATAAGTCGACGCAAGCATACGTTTATCATCGTACTTATCCATGAGCGCATTTAAAATAAGTCTATAGTTCTCGGCGCAAGGAGTTATACCGGCGAAAACAGACTGCGTTTTTACGGATAATTTACCCAACAAGTAATATAGTTTATCAGCGTCGGACAGGGATGAATTATCATGCACATTGGATTTAAAGCTTGCGTAGAATAAAGGCCACGAGCGTATATCTCCATCGAATGACACGAGTTCTATAGGCGGTAATGATGGTCGCGACTTTAGCGATGCTTGCGGATTATTGTCGTTAGTACTTTGACTAGTAAGACGAGACATTACACGCTTAATATGACAATACAATTCTTCGAATGCAACCCATGACTGATATTCCACCTGAGCCCCTGGGTAAACTTGCATATTATACAAATTGTAATCGGTCAACACCTTTTCGAAATCACTGCGTAATGCGTCAATAGAAGTCGCGCCAGAAAGGAACTCCTCTATGTCCTCCTCATTCTCCACTTGTTGAGAACGATCGTAAATTGTTTGTAAGCGGCTAAATAAAGAATCGCGTCTGGCCAAAGCTATATTCAGTAACATTTTTAATTTAGAATCTGGCGTTTCTGATTTATTTTTTGATGTTGACATTTTTAATAAATAACGTATACAATATTGAATATATTTCTATAGAAGTTTAATATCCAAAAACAAATTATGAATCGAAATTTGCGTTAAAGCGATGCGAGCATTTTTAAATTGCGACAATGGAGGTAGATCAATAAAACTATCTAGTTGCGCTTGCGTTCGAACGAACCTGAGTAATTGTATTGTATTGCGGTATATAATACTAATGATATTGTATTTTTATAATGGTAATATGTATACGAGCGGGTTTAAATAATATATATATAATGCGGGATGCGGGATAGTATATAAAATATTGTATTATAATATTTTATTTCTAATATTTCGTTATAGGCGTAAGAATGCGTGAATATATAAAAAATAATATTGAATGTATGAATGCGTGAAGGAATATATAGAATGAGGCGAGAAATCACGTCGTGAAATATGCTTTGGAATATGCGGATGAAGGAAATAATGCAATCCGGGCGAAGTGGCCACTGCCTCACCTCCAAAGCGCCGTCAATCGCTTCGGTGGCTGCTATCGCAAATGGAGAATCAACGTTAACCCCTTAAAATTAAGAGGGATTTTTATCTTTTTCTTACTAAAAAGTAATTTATTTTTTTACTCAACTATTATTCTATGTTTGTAATATCTATTAAGTCTATGTATTAAAAAGCGACTAAAATGTACACTGTTTCACGCTCGATCGGGAAGTGAGCCCCAATTGACCACTTTAATATATCTGGTTGATGCAATGTAGTTTATTGTTTGTTTGTTTCTTTCTTTCTTTCTAATCGTCTACTACCGCAGTGACACGTAGTTTCTATTATATTTTATTAAGAAAAATATATTTTGATTGAAAAAATAATATTTCCTTGAATATGAAATATCGTGTTTGCTATGAATTTGTTACTAAAGGTATGTCATCTTGATATATTCATACTCTCTCTGACATATGAAGAGAAAATATAAAATATTGAATTGATGTGGAGTAGATTTTACCTTTTCTAGCAGAATCCTTACCTCCGTCGTCTCTAGGGACGAAGCTATTCCAACTCGGCGGCTTAACACCGGATAGGTAACGCATATGACTGTTAAAAAAACAAGTCCTTTTTCACTGCTTTTATCTTTTCGTACATGCCATGCCATGCCATGGTGTGATTTAATGCGATATAAATATTAAATTTTGAATCGCTGTCGTGAAACGCGTTTACTTATATTTCTTTTATTTATAAATTCTGATAAATTTAGAAATGTATCATTTTGTATACTTTACGTGAAAATGGGAACTTAAATGAAAAGTTGCATAGCTCACTAGGCTAATGTGATGTGCCAATGTATTTTTTTTAAAATATAACTATTGATTACCTAATTGAAAAAAAAATTAACCAAGTAGTGCATTGCAATTTTTGGTTTACATATTGCCTTTTATAAATATAATCTTTTTAAACTTGCTATATGATAAGAAATTTAAATTTTTTTATAGTGCACCTCTGCACTTAAGATTGAACATTAAAATATTATGTAGAAAAACGACCGAAATCTTAACGTATTTTATTTAAAACAATGTAAATAAAAACGTTAAGATTTTCATCGGTGTGGAAATCAGCCATTTAGCTTAGTGGTTAAAGCGTCAGGCCGCGAATGCCGGAGACGTGGGTTCGATTCCCACAGCGGCGACAATCTTTTCGTACTTTCACTATATATTTAAATTGATATATGATTATTTAATAATGGTTATTTCTATTCTTATTTATGAGATAGATAGATCTGTATACCTAAACCACTACAGTTAAATCGGTAAATAGAGCGGTAAATACAGCACGTAAAATATTTGGAATATTTTATCTAATTCATTGCCCATGACGATGATCACGGAGCATCGAGTTCACTTTCTTTCATAATTATTATGATTATTTATATTGTATAGTCTACTGTTTTGTAATGAACAGGTAAATTGTTTTAATTAAATTGGACATCTTGAGAACTACTAAACAAAAATTTCATTTAAACTTTTCCGTAGAAATTCAAAATGAATTTCAACTTCGAAACTAAAGTTAGTTGTTGAATCCACAATCATTTGAATTCTGGCAAAGTCTTGCGGTTAGAATTTGCTGAGCTGTTGATTTTTGAACTACTCGAATATTTTTAAATAAAACCGCAAAATTCATGTTAGTTTTTTCTCCAACTGAATAATTTTTGTTAAACATTATTAATTATGAAATTGGGATTGTGCTACTAAACCGCTATTTAAGTAAGCTTTTCTACTTTGGTAATATTTTTTTAACATAATTTCGTTCATATATTAGTATAAACCTGGTGAAGCTAAAAACCTGGTAAACGTAAAAGTTGAATGTAATAACTTTTGTCTTTTCATCATTAAGTGGTAATATACTTATTACTATAATTCCTATGAAATTCATTCTATCTAAGTAGATTTTAAAAGCCTTTTTTTTCATGTCGAAAACGACTACTTAGTCGCTTTAATAAAATGAACTACGAATGACAGGAAATGCAAATGAACGACAAATTGTTCTTCGACTCTTTCGTTCTTATTTTCTACGGATTTTACCTACACTAAAGTCTGGCATTGACAGATAATATTAACGCGATAGAGCAAGTGATAAATTGAGCACGTTCCGTTCTTCTTTCAAATTCTGAAGTGTTTTATGTATTGGATAATGGACAAAGAGAAAGTCATACTACAACTTTGAATTGTGTTTGAACAAAAATTACCGCACTCATTTTGGGTGAATGGTGACTTGAAAATGACGGTAGTCTGGTTAAAATATAACATTAAGAAGTAGTA